GGGGTCGTCTTATACGCCCAGTCGTCTTATACGCCGGCAAATACGGTATGCTTTTTTAAATTTTTCTCTGTGCTTGTAGACACACACATACTCACACATATATGTAAAGGATGAGAGGGGATCATAGTTTCCTTATATGGTAGCATTCTATACTCTTTCTACACCTTATTCAATATCTTATGAAATTTTTAAAGCATCAAGCATCATTTTAATTCTCCTTAAATGGCTATATAGTATTTCACAGTGTGAATGATTTAGTCATTTCCCCACAGATAAGCATTCCACTGTTTCTAGGATATGTTCACATATGAGTATCTCTGTGTATGTATCTGTGTGTGAACACAAATTTATTATGTGAATATATGATTATTTATTCACAGTATTATTTAATTCTTCTATGTTCTTATATTTTCTTCTAAATCTGTAGAATTTTTAGTTTATAATACTTGTATTTTGAAAGTTTTCATCTGTACTAGTTTTTGCTAGTTTATGTGCATTACTGTTTTAGAATGAAAATTTTCAAAAATACAGAAAAATAAAATAGAATGATATAAATTCATGTACCCAAAACCTAGAATTTTAAAATGTTACTATTTTATCATAATATTATCAGATATCCTCCTTAAAACACAAGCATTTCAGATAAAATAAAGCCTACTCAGACTTACTATCTTTATCTCCCTTTGCAGAGGCAACTACCACCTGAAGTTTTTAAAAGTTCCTGTCCATGATTTTATTACATATTCAATACTAAAGTAAATTCATAAATGACATAGAATACTGTTTTCTATATTTATAAAATGTAGTGTATTAAGTTTCTATCATGACCGAATTTGTCAATTGTTCATGTATTGGTGATAATTTTTCTTTTTATAAGACTATGGCCTTAGTGGCATATTCATGATCATTACATCTTGTTGTGGAATATTCTTAGATCATTAAGCAGTATCTCTGTCTACTGATATTAATGTTTGTCACTTCAGATTTTACTCAGTCTGGTTTTAAAATTGCTCCACCATCTTTCTTTGGCTTCTTTTGTTAATATGTTTGCAAGATTCATCTGCATTCATGCTGATGGCTATAGTTTGTTCATTTTTATTTTAAGTTTGTTCATGTCCATTTTCACTACAGCATAATATTCCACTGTTTTAACAATTTATGTCTTCTGTTGATGTACAGTTGGGCAGTTTATAATTTTTTACTATTCCTAATGCTAATATGAATACCATTGGACATGTCTTTATGTGCGCATGTCTTTTTGTGCACATGTGCCTATGTTTCAATTGAGTATATATCTAGGAGTATATATACTAGCTCACAGGGTATGCAATATATTAGCTTAGTTGCAAACAGTTTTCCAAAGTGGCTATACTGATTCATAATCCTACCATCAGTCAATGAGAGTTCTTGGAATCCACATCCTTGTCAAAACTTGGCATTGTCACTCTTTTTAATTTTAGTCAATTTAGTGAGTGTATAGTAGCAATGCAATGCAGCTTTAAATTACACTCCCTGATTATTAATTAATTTGAGCACATTTTCATTTCTTACTTTTCCAAAAAGTACAAAATGCTTTATTTTCATTAGTTAATAATAGTTACTTGTGAACCACAGAGCATGGGGCTCATAAAAGAAACATTGATATTGAATATGAGGGAAGATTGGGCTGGTTGAAGTCCCCTTAATTTTCCTTTATAATTTTTTTAATTTTTCAATTACAGTTGACATTCAATATTATTTTATATTAGTTGCAGGTGTACAGCACTGTGGTTAGACATTTATATAATTTATGAAGTGATCCCCCCAATTAATCTAGTACCCACCTGGCACTATAGCTATTACAATATTGTTGACTATATTCCCTATGCTCTACTTTACATCTCCATGACTATTTTGTAACTACCAATTTGTTGTTGTTGTTTTAGCTGAACCATCCTGCTACCTGTTGGCAGCTCAGCAGCTGCTCAGCTCGGGCTGGACTCGAACCACTGTTGCTCAGAGCTCAAACTCTTGAGTGAGCTCTTAACCAACTGAGCCACTCGGCCGGCCCCCAATTTGTATTTCTTAATCCCTTCAGCTTTTTCACCCAACCCTCCAACCCCCTTCCCATCTGGCAATCATCAGTTTGTTCTCTGTATCTATGAGTCTGTTCCTGTTTTGTTTGTTTATTTATTTTGTTCTTTAGATTCCACATATAAATTAGATCACATGGTATTTGTATTTCAGAGTATGACTTTTTTCACTTAGCATAATACCCTCTAGTCTATCCATGTTGCAGTATATGGTAAGATTTCATTCTTTTTTTTTTTTTTTAAAAGATTTTTTTTATTGGGGAATTGGGGGGATGGGAACAGTGCTGGGAGATTGGGGAAGGGGAACAGACAAATTGCTGTCGTTTTGTTCTTCAGTCT